GCTGGGAAGCAGGAGAGAGGTAGAGAGAGATAGAGCGCCAATCCTGGATCCAGCGTTGGACCTGCCAACAAGGAGAGGGGCATCAGTGTGGAGAGCACCCCCAAGGGGGCTCACGTGCGCCCCTATTTATTGGCTCCAGCCCAAGGTTTCTAGAGTCTTCTCTCACCCCAGCTCCAGGAGTGGTTGAGACATTAGCCATTCAAGGAGGGTGACACCGGGCCCCTCCCCGTGGCTGGCTTCTGGAGCTTTCCCTGGGGCATTGTCTGTGCTTACAGCACAGCCACGTGGGCCTCGTCCCTTACAGCACTTTGGTCAGTTTGAGCTGTACTTGATGCTACTGGTATCTTCCACTGACTTCGGTGGAATTATGCACAACATAAGAGGCTGTTCATTAGGAGTAAGGCAGAAAGAATTTACCACGTAAGTCATAATGAAAGGACAAGAAATTAATATGCATGATTATCTGCATAGAGGCCACGGAAGCTGTTGGGACCTTTGACTTTGCCTCAAGTGTGGCAACATCCTCACTCAGATACGAGATCTGCTATAGCCATTCCCCCAGCCAACAGACTGGCCATCCGATTTGAAACTCATACCTGACCCGTATCCGTGTCCTGCATTATGAGGATGCGGCTCCACAGATTTACACACACTCAAATCCCAGGACACAAGCACATACCAACAAGCTTAGAATACTCTTCTGAATTGGGATAAAACTAAAAAGTACTCAAGTGCTTTCCTGAACTAGAGCTTCAATCACCAACTTAGAGTTAAATTGGATTTTTAATACTCTGTGTAATTAATTCTGAGAACAGGTTGGTCTCCTAAATCTGAGAAGCATTGCAGTGAAAAATAATAGACCTCATTTTGGGAATTTCTCATTAAAATTACTATGATCTTTTATTTCAGTATTGACTTTTCTCTCCTGATCGCTCCCTATTAACACTCATGATGCTATGACTAGGAATTGGTGGAAAACTGAGGGAATGTCAAAACATTTAAAAAGTTTCTTTTAAATTTTTCATGAAAATAACATTTTCCTCAAAAATGTCTGAACAAATGTAGTTGTATCTTAGATTTTTATATGTGTATATGCTGAAATGTGTTGCTTAAAAAAAAAACCAACCCAAAATGAGGTTGGCATGATTCATCTTTTTTAAAGATTTTATATGAAACACTTCAGAAGAATACTTTTTTCCAGCTTCCAGCAGTTTACATTCAGATTGGGATTTAAGAGTCAAGATAGAGACTTTCAAATTTTGTCTCCTTAACACAATGCGTTGTTTTGCTTTGATTATTCCCATTGCACAAATAGAACAAATAAACTAGCTAGACTTTGTTCTTAACTGTGTGTTAATGAGACATTTACAATACCCTGAGCAGATGCACAAATTTCGGAATGTATGTCTATTCCCGTGTCCTGATTTTAAGTCAATAGAGGTGGTCCACACATGATTTTGAAAGCTTAAATTTTTAAATTGTATTAACAGCCTGTAGCAATGACACCACTGCATTTTTTTTTTTTAGTAATGAGTGTTCATTTTTACAGAATCTTTTTAAAGCTATACTGGGCTTCCCATGAAAACCACTTTTTCTTTCTTCTGTAATAACGCTAGTCACATTTATATTGCTGTACGAACAGTAAGAATAATTTTGATTTATCTTTTGCAATGAGTTTCTATGATTACCATAAAGGTAGACTTGGGAATTACATACATTCAAAATGGCAACATTTCCTTCAAACATGAGACAGTTTGAGAGGGTACATTGTGTGCTGGTTAGCAAGTTGGACTATTAGAATGCTTTGCTCCCCTCTAGGTGATGAATATTTAGCTAAGTAATATTCTGGTATTTTGCAGAACTCAAAAAGGGTTATCTGTAGACTGGATTTGAAATATCCTACATGTATTTGAGAGCAGGAAGCCAGTGTTACTGAAATGCTGAAAAGAATTTTACAAATTATAAACTATCTTCTAAGTCTACTGATTTTTCTCCTTTGCTTTGCAATCTCTATCAAGTATTTTGTCAAGTGGGTTTTGTCTTTCCATTAAGTTTGGAGATTTGGTGGACAAATAAAAATGATGAGTGTAATACCAGGCATTATGTTTCTGCATTTATGATTTGCTTCTGATAGGGTTTTGAAAAATCAGATTGAAACTCTTCCTGTCTTGCTTAAGATGTGCAGCGTTGTGGGTTTACTTTAACACAATTTTGTACTGAAGTGAAAGACTGCTGACGTTTCCAAACTTCAGGACTCCAAAATGCAGTGCTATATTCTTTGAGCGGCTGTAGAAACGGGCTCAGACATCCAGCAGTACCTCCCGTGGGTTCAACAGAAACAGGGCGGTATGAATGACGCCTGCCCTCCCAGGCTTGACGGATAGTCTGTAGGGCATCACTGAAGATTTAGTGCCACCTGCTGCATGTTTTTGAAAACCTACTTCCAGCAACGCCTTACCCCACCCCGGGAGGCGTACTTGCTCACTCTGAACATTCGTAGCTTCTGAAATCCTTTATTACATATTTTACTTCTCTTCAAGAAAAATCGTAGAAAGTTCAGCGTGAAAAAAGGCCTGAAAGCAACACGTAGTGCTACAAATTAAGTATTACAACTTAAAAAGCTTTATATTTTTTTTTTTAAGGCACAATAAGGTTGGAGCCTCCCACCCCTGCGACACCGCCCTACGCTTTTAACATAACGAACATGCTTATTATAAAACAAGGACTCTAGAAGCCCTTTTAATGTTCTTCGACGCCGGGTGCCCTTATGCGCGGCGGAGCAGGTGGGTGCAGTGGTGGAGACCTCGCCCAGTGCCCGCCATCCTCCTGAGGAAGTTGCCCTCCTTCAGAGGCCAGGGACTGCGTTTTTGTCGCTGCTAGAGCGAGCTCAGCTCTGGAGAGGAGGCTGTTTCCTCCTTAAACCCGTTTCAGTGCCCCTCCCCTCCCGCTTTAGGGTGAGAGCACGAATACAGAGCAGCTGTAGCCGCCGGGTGCGGGAGAGGGTGGGTTGGTTTAGCGTTCGTTGGGTTTGAGCGTGGCGGGAAGCACTGAGCGAGAGGGAGGGAAGCAGGGACTGAAGGGCAGCTTACGGGAGCGAGCGGGTCACGGCGCTGCCAGAGGCGAACGGCCGCGCAGTTCAGCCGTTAACACCACCCCCCGCTTTAAACTTCCCGCCCGCCGCTCGGCGGCGGCCGCGCTGCCTATTCGCCGCCGCGGTTTCCAGGCGCCGCGGACGGCAGAGGCGTCGGGCGGCTGCAGCCTCGCTACGTCCCCTTTCG